TAGATATCTTTACTATTCATCATGCTACTTTGACTTGAGTGTATGTCTGTGTGTCTATATGCAATACCAGTCCTAACTCAGCGCGATTGAATACACGAGCATTACATGCACACAATAGACAGTCATTTGGCGTTTGTACGCCTTTCGGGTTATAACAGTCCACGAGAAGTCTGCCCTTGTTTCGGATGAAGATACGCTGAGCTTTCATCCATTACATTACGGACATCTTCAGAACTGGAACTCATTCTTCCAAAAGTCTCACGTCATCACTTGGACAAGAAGAATATCTGGCTCTTTATTATCTCTTTGATATACTCAACTAAAAAACGAAATGGGATAGACATGCATAGATATATAATTTTTTGGCTAATCATATATCATTTTGATCACATTACTTTGACATGAGTATGTCTATGTGCGTTTACGTCTAAACGAAGTGCCGGTCCTAAATAAGAATAAATAAATACTTAACCATTACATATGTACAATAGCACTTACATAAATTTGAGAATCGTATGCTAATGCATGTATGTAATGCAAGCATCGAGTCTACTTCCGATTCATGAATTAACTTTACTCGGTTGCAAGCAAGTAGAGTAGGTTTCGGGGATTCATTAATATCACGAGGAAAGATGTATTAAAAGTGACTACTGTCGTATGCTTTTTGGGCAATTTCGTAAAGTATGAATTGTTGGTCTGGTGAGGTGTGTCGCAAAGGAACAGGTATTCAGTGGGACAGTCTTCAGTCGGCCGCCATCCTCCTTCGGTTTCGGGTGAGACAATTTCACGGATTCCTTGCAACCAACTTTTCCCTCGAAATGGGAATTCATTGCAATATTTATGAGATCTATTCCCTCTAGTTGAATTATGATGATGGAGGATTGGCGGTTTAATTTTTCCCACAAACAGGCCTCAGTGATGTGGAAAAAAGCCAGATGGCCTGCCAATATGCTTGTGGTAAAAATTCCACTACTGGTCTTTGATCAGCTCAAATGAAATAAAGTGAAAACTCTTCATACAAGTCTCGAAATGCTAATCATAAAAATGAAATGAAGAGGTGTGATCCGCACGGCCAAGTATGCCGCCTTCACAAAGTGTGTGGCTTGCCTGCGCCGTAGTGACCAGCAACGTGATGGGGATGATGAGCACGGAGAGAATGACGATGCACCAGGGGATCAGCTGCTCCAAATAGATCATGTAGCGCCGGTAGGGGCCATGCAAGGTGCAGGAGAAGGTGCTGTTATGATGTGCGAACTGCTTGCTCTTCTCTAATCTGATTGCAAAGACGAAGGGAAATCAAGTCAGGTGGTGGAAGATAAGACGTCTACGACGCGTAAACCACGGCCAGATCATTATT